AATATTACTAATTTTGTGATGCTCCTTCAAGCTGTGATGAAATATTTGTCTAGACTTGTTTAGTTCAAAATTTAGTCTATTACGCAAATGGTCAATTGCAAAATATCTCTATTATTCTCTAAACCCCTGGGAGATCCTCAATGGTTAAATGGCGTGAAATTTGTGTTCACTTACTTGAAGAATAACGACATGGCCGTCTGTCAAAATTTTTCGATTGCGAACCAGGAAATCAGTTGCTTCCAATACTTGCATACCTGGAAACGAAGGATCTACTCCCAAATCGGCAAACAGACAATCAAGAGCGGACACACCTGGCAACATTTTTGCTTTTAAACCTTGCTTGTGTGCAATTCGTATGGCGCGATGACTGGCGTACACAAAGATACCAGGATGACCATAGTAGATTGTGACCACTTTTTGCCCATGGCGGACAGGGTGCAACATCGCTTCAGCCATTTGATAGTATGTCAGTATCCTGAAATGACAAGTTGAAGTGTCGATTTCGTAGTCATGAATTCAGTGCTAGATTTTTTTTTACAAGCTTTGTCACAACAAGAATACATGACCAATAACAGTAATTACATATATAACATTACAAATGTGATAGGAAATCACAACAGCTTCAGGCCAATTACTATGATACCAAAACGTAAACTACAAGTACAGTGTTACACAAACATACACACGCACATACATCATTGTCACAAATACATCATTATATAGATACAGATCTAATTTAAAAACAACATGCAATAGGTTTGGTTAGGTCCCGGGCCTGGTTACATTTCAGGCAAATTGTTTTCCACGACCGAGGATCATCCACATTATAATTCCTATCTAATGCGGTATAGTAATATTTAATTAAGAGATTTTTAAAGGTTATTAGAGAGTTAGATTTATCGGTTATTGATCCTGGTAATATGTTCCATATTCTTGTTGTTCTTGTCGTATAAGTCTGTTGGTAGGTATAGAGGTTTTACATTTCCTAACTTGGAAATCTGTCTATTTAGGATTTTTGAAACGCTTTTAGGAAGATGTAATACTATCTTGAAGTCATAGAAGCCCGATGTACCTGCATGGACAAAATCTCCTCCTACGGAAGTTTAGACATCTCAAAGTTGGGTCAGATATGTCTGTTTTAGACAGCTTTGCACATGTGAGTATTAGAGAACTAAATTGAAACTTATGAAAGTGACAATACTGTATAAGAGTAAAGCCAAGTTTTAATTAAGTCAACACTAGCCCGAGTATCAGACCATATAATTACGCAGTAATTGTTCCCGAAATGAGAATGTGCTGCAACTTACCAGGCATGGAGTTTATGAAATACTTAAAGTAAAATCACACAAAAAAGTCGGGGTCACCGAACTCGTTAAGAAGATATGACAATCACAATATACCACCTTTACCCCAATATGGCGCCATCTTGACGCTCATTACGAGTAACAGCAAACTCACAACAGCCCGATATTTATTGACGTTTTTAGCGCGGATTTTGCTTTAGTAAACCTATCTTGTAATTATTTTTGAAAAAATATTGTGTTTTGAGCAAAATACTGCTAACGTGTACAATTCTGATCCACAAATGTCTTTTCCACATTTCTTTACATATCTTTCTTTGAGAACATGCATTGATAAAGCATTTTTTTTTTCAAGATCCAGAAATGATTTATCTTTTAATTTCGGATATGAAATGTAAGATGCATTAAAGAAATAAATTATCAGTTAAAAAACGGTGGTCACCGATCTTTTTAGGGAATTGTGGCATTAAAACGTGAAATACAAGTAAATAAATATACTACAGACACAGGGAACCCTAGGTACACTTTTGTAAGCCTTTTTTGAAAACATTGATTTGAACGTAATTCTTTGCACGAATGTAACCAAAGATGTTTTGAAGTAACATAAAATTGTCATAAAATGATTTTTTTTTAAACGGTACACATAATGGATGGAATTATAAGTTATAAGATGTGCGCAGTAAAAGTGCGCAATGCAAAACTGCGGAATTACCTTAAATGCGGTTGGGTGGAAGGGAAAACACAATTCCCTGTCTGGCCGCATGTAAAGAAGTCAAAATCCGGCTTTTCACCTGATAAATCTACCAGAGAAAGAATTTGTAATCTGTCTCCTGAATGGTTAGTGATAATTAGATTATACTATTGTTCATTACATATTTGGTATAGATTGTTGTTACTGTGTGAAATTTATATTTTCCCTGAAACCACGTTGGTCAAATGTAGCAAACTTTCTCCCACTCGTGCGGGCTCATATTATCAGCGGACATCTCACACAAAATTGGCAGCTCTGTGTAAAACGCAAAGCTTTCAATTTTTCATCGGAAATCTGCTGAAAAAATTAATCTGCTGTATTGGGAGAACATTTTTTGAATATTAACAGCGTGAACACTTTGATTGGACAACTAAACATCAACTTTACTTTGGGTGGGGAACGACCGGATTAAGATTTGTGTCAGGCTCAATTAAATACAAAGATTAACTGCAAACCTCTCTTTCTTGTTACCATATAAAACAGACAAATCTTTGGCATTTGGCTTCATTTTTCTAATGTAATTTTCCGTTACTGGGTCAGCGACATGATAGAATACTTGATCAGCATCCTTAAGATAACCAAGGGCTTCAACAGTAAACTGGCAGACACTTTTGATGCCTGAACCAATTACAACCAAACTTCCATTCGTGTTCTTGGGCTTAGGCCAATTGGCAGGGTCCGGTCCACCTTTCTTAATCAAATTCTGGCTGTGTCTGCTGACAATGGCAGCATATTGTTCCCAGTCCTCTGCTCGTTCTTGTGCAAGTGGTCCCCGGGAAAGTGGAGTCTCGACATAGGGATCTGGAGAAGTGCTATCATTGGTCATTTTTCAACCTAAAATGTAAGCGATTGTTATCCAATATAGCAGCAGTAATCGATAAATCTTATCGATAAATTAAATTCTGACTTAGTTAATGTAATGGACTGGTTAACCGTAAATAAACTCCAGTCACAGGCGAAAAAAACAAAGTTCATGCTAATAGGATCCGCATATAATTTGAGTGCGAAAGGCAATGAAGTAACTAATAGTATTATTATGAATAATAGTATTGAATCGGTTCTTTCCCAAAAGTGTCTAGGGGTTGACCTTGACAATAGGTTGATATTTGATATTCACATTGAGAATTTGTGCAAAAAGATATGTTCGGAAATTGGTGCCTTAAGAAGAATTAAACCCTTTGTTCCTTTGCGTTCCTTAAAGATGTTATACAAAGTACTGATTCAGCCATATTTTGATTATTGCTCCCCTTTGTGGGATACATGCGTGAAGGTCCATAAAGATAAATTACAGGTGCTCCGAAATAGAGCGGTGCGAGTTATAACAGGAGCAAGATTTGATGTCAACTCGGCAAATGTACAGGAGGATCTGCAATGGTCCACGCTCGATGTAAGACGTCATAGGCTGAAGAGCGTTTTGATGTACAAAATTCTTAATGAGCAGTCCGCTCCAAGTCTTAGAGAAAAATTTATAAAAATTAAAGATCTTAATAGAGAATATAAT